TCAATGTAAGTGAATAGTTTGTCACGATTGATTTCTTCGATACTCTGATCATTTTTTTGATCTACCATCCATTCCAGCACTTCTGTCTCGTCCAGTAGATTTCCTGTAAAATATCTCACAATCACTCTGTACACCCTTCGTCTGTTGTCTCTTTTGTTAAATTGTTAATTTTTGGAAGTATGTAGATGTCTGAGGCTATAAAAATAACATTGCGAATTCATTGCGAGCCTTGAAACATTTTGCATGAGAAAATTTTCAAAGAAGTATTCTTCATATGATGTTTTTTCATCTCCACAGATCTGTCAATTTCATTCAACTACGGATTATTTAAATCAAATTTAAATCTTTGATGCAATGAAATACAGTATCATTATTTATCGTGTTTGGAAACCGTCGATTTTTAAAATTTATTCCTGACGTGGCTGACAAAAATGGCTCTTCTTCAGAGAATTATACACCCTGAGTAATCTCCGATGACTGTGCTGCAATGTCTGCTAATACCTGTACCTTGATTAAGTGAATTGTCAATAACCCTTTTCTATTCGCCGTCATTCTGTTTGCTATTCTTGAACTTCTTAGAATGGATTTCCATATTTGATTGAGATTTATAGATTCTTTTCTGTTGAAATTATCCGCGTGTTTGTGTGATCAGTGAGTTCCGTGTTTTCAAACAAAATCCTGTGGTGTTCTTTATTGAGTGCGTGTTCCGGCACAGCCGACTTCTCTGCAGCCTAGTCTGTGGTTTCTTTCACGCACCTTCATACCAAATAACATGGACACGCTTTACGCAACTTAACTAATCCAGGTACAGGTATTAGCACACCGAACTACCTGAGTGTACATAAATACGCGTTATGCAGCCGTAATTAATATCCAGTCATTATGAACTCAGGATGTATAAACCTCTGAAGAAGCCACCCACTCACGCCAGCGAAACGTCAGGAAGAAATTCCAAAAGTCGAAGGCCATCAAACCCGTAAAATAGTGATACTGAAAACGTTGCGTCGGCTGCGAAAGCCTTAACCATTTTGTCAAAAACTGGATACGTTGAATACCCAATTAATTGTTCATTTTATCATCGAAGTTATAATTATTACTACTTGACCAAGAGCATGTGGCCTTATCAATAGGATCACAAGTGAAGTTGACAACTCAATCTACAGACAAATCATCAGTGTAATTCATTGAACACTTCATAGCTTTACAAATATAACCAGCGGAATAATGAAGAACAAGCAAAGGTATCACATTATTAATTACTGGAGGCTCATTTACATTACCACCAATGGTTGAGTAGGGATAAATCACATATTACTTAAAATTGAACGTCAATTTCATTCATTATTTTGAAGAATAGTCTAAATATTTTTTAACTTTCATGAACTCCTGTATCTTCTATTGGAAATAGTAGAATGAAGGTGATATCACTAAACCAGAATTCTTAGGGAGTGTTTCCATTGTAAGTCAGAGAAGGTTTTATTTTTATAACAAATTCAATTCAATATTGATATGTAGTTGTTTGTGTAATTTTGCATCTTGATTTTAATTTCAGCTAATATCTGTAATTCCATTCTGCTGTTTTACTGTATCTTTCATTTATGGACATTTGCCAATACTCTTCCTTGTGTTACTATCTTCATTCGGGTTTGAAGGCCGTCGTAGTTTGGAACTGCGTACTGGCAAAACGTTAGTTTTACCAGCAGTTAGTTGACTGCAGGGGTCTTTCACCCCGTGTGGTCACCTGGATCTATACTGCAATAATAAGACCTATGTTACCGGACGGAGCCATTGCATGGGGGCCGAAAGTTCTACAAGCACCGGCAATCCAAAACTTTTATCAAACACAGCGATCAGATACCAAGGCAATGGAATTATTTACTGATCTGACCCCTCTGGACCTGTACGTTAAAGAGGTTACGTTAATAGCCATGTTACGATTGCGCACGGCTGGTGTAAACCTCGAAGTAGGAATGAGTCAATTGAGGCTAGGCCTATGGCGAGAAGCGCTTACTACGCAACCTCTGCTGCAGGCAGCCTGTGATGCAATTGAAATCAGGTTTGTCTTTAATAAACCCTACAAAATACAAATAAAACAGAACACAGAGTCAGATGCTTCAAATGCAATACGGATATATATAGACGGCTCAAAAACCAAAGAAGGCTGAGTGGAGTTTACTCCAGATCATTGAGCCTAAGGATTAGGTAGGGAATGGGAAAAAATACCAGCGTGGTTCGAACAGAACTGGCTAGTATCTCAGTTGCCACAAAAGAAATAACCTGGAAAGAAATTTCTTGCAAAAACACAACAATCTGTACTGATAGTAGATAAGCCCTATTAGCTTTGAATAGACAACGTGTTACCTCAGGGCTAGAACTAGAGCACCACCAAGATTTAGCCAAAGCCTCGGTAGATAATAACATTATCCTGAGGTGGGTTAAAGGGTACGACAGGAGTAAAGGTGATCGATTGCCGACTCTTTAGCCAAGGAAGGTGAAAAAGGTGAAAAAGCACGACAGGAGTAAAGGTAATCGCTTTGTCGACTCTTTGGCCACAGTAGCGACTGGACTAAGTATTTTGGGACCCAGTGACACCTACGGCCTGATGACTTCGATAATTGCGGAACTAGCCAAACGTCACACCCATGCTCAATCCTTAAAGAGATGGGATGGAATCAAAGGATGCAGTCTTGCCATTAGTTTTATCTTCCTCTTGAAGATGATCACTTGGTGATCGAAACACGTGTCGAGGTGTGAAAATAACGATTTGGTGTTGGGAAAAAACTCCAGTAATATTTATGCATTTTAAGTTGTTCAAACTTCTGGATCCCTCTGCTGGTGCCTATACAAAGTGAAATGTAGTTGGACAACTTTCAATTGCAATTGGGATTGCACTATCAAGAGTAGCGTGCTTTGTTGTTTAAAAAATAAAAATCGACCTCATTTGGGTAATAACTCCCTCAATTCAAGGCTAGAGAGTTCCACAAAGTAATTTTCAATATGAAGATTTCCACCTCACCCAGTTGGGGTGGTTTCCATCCCCAGGGTAAAAGCACACATCGGGATAGAATAGATTTTTCTTTTCAAGGCGTAATGTTTCATCAAAATGTCACATTGTTATGTGAAAAAAACTGCTACATTTGAAGTATTCCCCTATTAAATTTGAAATGCTCATTCGATCAACTGATATCAGATTTTGATTTTTGTTTACTTTTTTGATCAACTTCACACATTTCATTTATATAGTACGTAGGCATACTCAAAGACAGGCTTTTAATCAAATTTTCTAAAGGAACAATTCGTTCAGGCCAGGCTTCCCTCACCTATACAGTAGATTTATAGACTCACACCTATCAGAAAACAACAATTCCCTTGGCTAATACCACGAAGGGCGTTGGAATATATCCGACAGGTGTCAGTTCAAGATACTTGACAAGTAATTCCTGCGTATGCTGTTGGGAACACAACTGCCGCATTCGATTTTTAATCATTGGAACACACTTGCAGATATGTTTCAGGCTATTTGACCACTCGTCAATGCAAGGTAGTGTCCATCATCAACATGAAGTCGATGCTTTTCGATAATTGAAAATCGAATTTCTTTCAGAATATCCTTCCTCGAAGTAGGCTGAACCGAACGACAAACAACATATTTGTCATCGCCCCTTCCGCCTGTTAAAGTACTAACCAACTGCATATCCACATGGCCCAAATCCTCGTATAAGGGCAAAAAACTTTCATGCCAATAGTACGTGGGCATATTTGAAGACTGGTTTTGAATCAAATTATCTAAAATCTAAAGGAACGTTTTGGTCAATATTCTTATGGACTGATACCTATTAGAATCAACTGCTCCCGCGGCTAATACCACGAAGGGCGTTATATTATATCCGACAGGTGCAAGATTCTTTACAGAAGTAATTCCGCTAAGTGAATTCGATTTTCAATTATCGGAAATCATGGACTTCATGTTGATGATGGACACTACCTTGTACTGACAAGTGGTCAAATAGCCCGAAACCAGTATGCAGTCGATTCCGTCGGTTGTATCGCCAACAGCATATGCAGGAATAACTTCTGTGAAAAATCCTGCACTGACACCTGTCAGAAATAATCCAAAGCCCTTCGTAGTATTAGCCAGGGGAGTAGTTGTTTTCTGATGGGTCTCAGTGCATAAACCTACAGTGTAGGTAAAAGAAGGCTGGCCTGAACGAATTTTTCCTTCAGATGATTCAACGTCACATATGAAAATGTTCATTCTGATTTGAAAAAGTTTTTTAGATGCGTTCTTCGTATTTACTTGGGATTCAATGAGTACCTAATACACAAAAATACTATTTTCGGTATCAAGTCAGTGATTTTGAAACATTATTTAGGAGATATGTAGACTACTATTTTATTGAAACTTCACTGGTAGAAGACCGTGTAAAGTATAACCTTAACCTTCTTTCACCTGTGGTATTCAGTTTTGAAGTATGAATTTCTTCAAGTTTATTGTAATACTTTGAAAATGTCCTTATAGGATGAAACTGAGGTAACGTTAGTTACAAATATAAGTGGTAAAAAACATTTTTCATGATTATCTACCACGTATAACGGCTACATCCGTCAATTTACTTCAGAAAATTGTTTCATGAATGTGAAAATTTGATTTCGAAATAGCAAAAATTGAAAATTTTCCACATTGAATGTTTAAATCTACTCCTCACAAATTTTTCAAAAATAATTTTGTTTGTAGTTTGATATATAAACATGCAATGTTTGTTCACCAGCGGTTTATATTGATAATGATACCTACTTTTTCACCAGTAGAGACACTTATTAATTTTTTTATTGGTCTTTTAAATTGCTGACATAACTTTTTGAGGTTCCATTTTTGTATTTACCTTTCAGATGAGAATAACAATCATCTACATACTGTCTAAAATACAAAGTTCTGGAATGAAGTCATAGTATAATTTGTACCATCTTCCACATCTGTGATTAGACAAAAATAAGAGAAATAAACAGTAGATAACAATTTATTTGTTCAAGAAAATGTACAGTGTTGTTGATTTTGAACATGCGAGGTGTGCGGCAGTGTTCATCGTACCCGAATGCAACTAAATCAGAAAAATAAGGTGGAAAAAAGATCAACCGTAAAACGGATCATGCAAACACGTAAAGCCATCTGTGATGTAGGTGAATTCGGGGCGACAATTTTTTTAGTTACTTTTATTTACATATATAATACATGCTATCAAAAAGCTACATATCCAATAGGCAATAACAATATTATCAACAATATTTACAAGTTCAAGCTAGTCTAAAACAATAAAAAAGCTAGGACCTAGACTATGATTCAAGAGGCCGTTTTACCAACCAAAATTTATTTGATCGAGTTTGATTTTTTCTCTTACGCCATTCAAATTCAATCAACAATAAATCTTCCACATATGAAATGAGTTTGTATGAAAATGAGTTTGTTTGATTTTGCTGAAAAGTGATTGAATTCAATTTGGTAGGTACGAGTGAAATATGGTTGGTGTAAATCATGTTTGGAGGCATATACTGAGAATATTAAGAACTGATATATCAGCTAAACGAGGATGATACGGGTTATTTGATTTTCTGTCATTTACATGAATAATTTTCAGTATTAAATATAGTTCTTTTATACAAACCAAAGTTTTATTCAATTCAATGCCCGTGGTGGTATTAGCTAGAGAAGTATGTTTTTGATATGCATTGAGAAATGTATCTGGTTGGAATAGCGATGAAAATATTATTATTATCTTGTTCGCTAATTTTCATTTGTTAATTTCATCGTCATTCTATTTCATTTGTTTTATTTATTCCTTCTGTTAGTTCATTCGTTTATCGGTAACTGGTGTCAGTTGTTGACAGTTTACAATGGTAAATGGTTTTATTACACCGATGCATTTTTCCATGAATATTGCAGGACTGCCAGAAAAGAGTGTTTGGTAATAGTGAAACACAGTATTGAATAAGAAAGAATTGTGTATGATTATAGTAACTTTTGAATAGTTAAAGAAAATATTGAGAAAATCTGTAATCTTAAAAAAAAACTTTCGGAAATGATGAACAAAACAGAGCTTCAAACGAAAAAATTATATGAATTTCCTATTAGGCGAACCTTCATTTTGTTATTCCAACTGAATGTTTTTTTTGTCATACTCGTGATACATTTGTTTGAACAGTGTCATCATATAACTTCATTTTGCCTTGACGATCTGACAATGACTTCTTTATAAAAAAAAAATGATTTTCAGGAGAACAAAATAATTCTGTGTTGTTCGAATGATAAGAGATATCGTTAGAATAGCTGCGATACTTTGCGATCGAGAGGTTGAAAATGGTTTTCAATTCGATGTGGGTAGAATCGAGGAGCAAATCTTTGGATTTGAAAACTGTGTACAGCACTCAATACTGTCGCTGATAAAAATATTCTATTAGATATCTACTGTGAGCTTTGAGAGCTTTGGTAATATTCTTATTTTCAGCACATCATTCCAAAAATAGATCACATTGGAAGATTTATGGATAAAGTTGGGCATAACCTGATGTCTAGAAAAAATGACCATCATTTGGAGCACATGTATTTTTTCTATGTTGGCTACTCTGTGTATTTGTCATCAGTGTCAGTAGGATTGAAGAGAAGATGTGCTGCATTGCTGATGATCAATGGATACTCCAATGAATTTCTGAATACTGCATCTTAATGATCTTGACCTCCCTCAATATTTTTGAAGGTTTATACATATTTGGCAATATGTAGATGATGTTTTATTTGCTGTATAGCCATTTTACTCTGTGTATTCATCGTCAGTATCAACTGTTATATGTAGTTGATGTTCATATTGTTTTTTGAGTTTTATTTGCTGTTTTCATTGTATTCATTTTCCATTTAGTACTCTCAATATTCTATAGAAGTAATGGTGTGAACAATTATCATGACAACTGACACTGGTGACAAAAAACAATGTAGCCAACCCAGAATAAATACATGTGTTACAAATGGAATCGTATTCGATATGGTCTTTCATGGTAAATTGTAACATTGGCAGATCTAGATCTTCAGATGATGTGATTCTGCAGGTTTTTCTGGGTTTTCCTGCAGCTGGAAAAGCAAATGCGCCACTGGAAGCAATGGAGTCGCCCCGGAGCGCCAATTAATTTCTATTGTTGTTTTTATTTTTATCATTGTTTTATAATTTCACAGATGAAAATAATTGAACATTGAAAAAAAAAAACAATTAAAATCGAAACGAATTTGAAGAATAACATAAAGCCTTTTCCACACTGTAAGTGAATATATCTAAGTGAGAGAAATTCAAATTAGAAATTAGATATCCTTTTGAAGAATTCATCAAAAGAAAGTCAAGTTCAATGGTTGAAAACATGACGTTAAAAAATAGTATGAGTTGAGTTCTCTTTCCATTATAATGAGAGATAATCAAATAGTGAACCCGTTTGAAAACTCCGATTGTATTGAAGTATATGCCTCTCGAAAAAATATTGAGTCAACAGTGAAATGAAAATGTAGTCAGTTATCCAATATATGATTAAGTCACTCAAAAGCCATAACAACAGCAGTTTGTAGTCGAAGAGTAGGTTACACTTGGATTGCCAGAGGTCACATACAACCCTCACCATCGAGTTCACGCTTCGCCATGGAAAATTTCAGGATTAGTGTCCGTTACCTATTACCACCACCAGATATATTTACCAGTCCCGAAAAATCCCTTCTTGCCTTTCCCTTTCTCTCCCTTGGGCACAGGCGCCGGGTTCTTTTCCCTTCCCTCCTTGGTCTTGATGGGGTGGTTGGCTTTCGAAACCATTTTCAGCGGAGCCGGTTCAGATTTTTTAGAGGGTTTCGGCGTGGACGGTTTCGATGTCACCTGCTTGGCGGTCAGCTTCGGCTGGAGTTTGGCAATTTTGCTGGCCTTCATTGGTGGTTTTGGGCAGCACTGGTACGGTTGGTAGGACGGGTTCGGGAGCTGTCCCTTGCCCCCCATGCCGATGTAGAAACAGCCATCCCCTGCAGCAGGAAACATAATGTCAGAATCCACTTGGTATAAATCGGAAAATATATATAATACAAGGCGAATAGCTGTTAGTATGCGATGATGAAATACGAGACTACAGTGAAGTGAGAGTCTGACACTATGTCCTGCATGCAGTGCGATAAAATCATGCATATTTATACGAGGCCTACTCCAGAAGCTGGCTACCGTCCAGGACTGCCGGACTCTCGGACTAACAGCGAGGGGAGGGGCGGTTTCTCGAAGTGTCGAATAATTTACGATTAGGACTATGTAGGGGCGCTACCTACAGGTCTTGGTATCTTGCTTTTCTATTATTTTTACGTGAAAAAGGTATGCTTGTCAAAAGTCGCTACAAGCGCCTCCCACAATCAAGTGCCAAACTGAAACATTATTCGAATTTCTTCTATTGAAAAGTCCTCAAATACTAATTTTCTTCCAAATATCGACATTATTTCAAAATTCATTAGCGAAAACCCAAAATAAAAATAAATTTTCTCAAAAATGAAGGCCTTGTGGACCCATGCTTAGATGAAATTTTTACCTTATAAATAACTGAGGAATCTCCGTCTAAAATATTGGATAATCATTACACATCACCCTGTATATGTCCTTCCACTACATGCACTTTTATTTAGGTCATTCGATCGATTTCCAAATTCCTCCTGTTGATCCACTTATTGAACGTTAGTGTTTGTTGTTAGGCTTTTATTATATTGATATCATTTGTCGGGTTTGGATGCTACCGTAATGCGAAATTTCTTTCGCTAGAAAGACTTGTTTTCTATCTACAAGCTAAGTATTTCAGTTGAATACTTATCAATATTAGCTCTTGCAAAATAATTATAAACTCGTTTTCTCATTAACATTACAATTAATGGTTTAAAAATTGTTACTAATCGTTCATAATCTTCTTATCAACAGTGAAATATATGCACTTTTTCATCGAAAATATTGTTCTTTGTAACGCAATTATTTTGATTTATCATAAATAATGCTCCTGAAACAGATGAGATATTTCTTGAAAAGTATATATTCGTACTATCAAAAAAAATCTCAATCGACATTTAAATGGATAAGTATTAAAATTATTCATTTAGCAATTGTGGGTTTCTAAACTTTCCAATTCTATTATTACCCGTGTTGAGACATTAGTGATTTTCGATTACATCATCTTGTAAATTCCTGTAATATCAGTGGACATATTTATTGTGAGCTCTTCATATTGTAATTTCAACATTTTACCTACGTATAGTTTTTCTACCCTTCAAAATGTATCTACTTTTAAACGTATAATAATTATTTCTACTAAACCAATCTTCAACTCGGCCAATGTTTTCAGTTTTTACTTGAATCATTTTTTGCTTCTCATCATATAGACTTTTATGGTGAATCTTCTAATTCTACTTCTGTTTTACGAAAAATAGAATTACGTTGAAACGGTAACATTGTTCGCTTCCCTATTTAAATTGAATATTTTTATCACAGCCTGAGAGGGCTACTCGAAGTCTACAATATTCTTGTCAATTTATTTTGGCAGTAGCTGAATATTAGAGATCATTCATTTCCATTTTAACACATATTTTCGTGGAAGGAAATCGAGTGAAAACCACCGATGCTCAACCGTTGGTCTGCAAAAGCTGTTCTCATCGAATAAAGTGAAAAAAGTAACTTTGTCACTTGCAAGTTTTATATTAATAATAAATTATGGCTATTGACTTTGTTTTACTATTTGGGTGCTCAATTTCTTTCTGCTGCCATTGAAGAAAATGTTATTCTAATGCAGATGTTGTTTATTCTATATTTTTGTCTTAGTCGCAAGTTATTCGACACATCTCCACCGTTTTACCACCAAACACGATCCACTTTTACCTGGAACAAATCCCTTAACCAACTCATCGAAATTTTGCAGTCCGCTGCCAACGTCCTTGTTGTTTTTCTCCAAATCGTTAGGGTTATTGTTAAGGTCTTCATCCTCGTCATCGTCATCGTTATCATCTTCATTCGCGCTAACATCACCTAAGAAATTACAGCAACATGCAGCCCCACATGCAACACACCTCGCAAACCTCGCATTTGAAGCCATTTATAAAATTTTATATTCGAATAATTTTTCGTGAAAAATGCGATAGTTACTATTGAAATCAGATGTTAAGATAGTGAAAGTTTGGTATCCTTACTTTTTTGTTCAACTAGCCATTCCAAAACTCTGTCCTCATTTTTAAGGTTCCCTATAACATTTCATTGAGATAATTAATTACCTGACCTGAGAGTATTTTCGAAAAACCTATGAAAAAGTCGGTCCCAAAACAAGGCTTACCGTCATACATGATTGGCACTCCCGTTTCGTAGTAGACCAAAGCCGGAAAGCTGAAAATTCCTATTTCGGAGGCCAGTTTGGCATCCATAGATTTCACGAATTGTATACCGTGTTTGTCCGTATCGTCGTCGATAGTTTCTAATTCTTCCAGAATTTCACTGCATTCTTCACATTCATTGCTGTAGAAGAGAACGGCTAAGTGTTCGACGTCGTTTATGAGTACCTGCGAAATATTGAAGATGTAACGTTTTTATCAAAACTCACATTTCGAAACTCCTTTGACATCTGTCGAAGAAGTTGAGAAGTAAATAATCAACAACGGAATAACTGCAAATATCTTTGAATTCTTTAGTTCATTTTTGATAGGCAAAATTGTTAAATACGACAAGTTACTGATAACTAGAACATTTTTCATTGTGAAAAATACTTTGATTTTACGGTCAAAAGTACCTGGCAACAAACACAGTAGAACCTTCATTAGGGAACCGTCCGAGAAAAGAACTGAAGAACTACTTCAATATAGTAGGGATCGGCTCGGAATGATTACAGGGTTACTAACCGGTCATTGTCCGCTTAGAGGACACCTGAATAAAATGGGGCTGTACAACGGAGACCTCAGCTGTAGATTATGCAACGAAGGAATAGAAACAGCTCTACACATCTTATGCGAATGTGAGGCACTGAATCACAGAAGGCAGGTAATATATGGACGTACAAAACTACGCACAGAAGAATATGACGAACATCCAACACGGAACCTGTACAAACAAGTACAGGGAACGAGACTGATGGAATGGGTGTCATGAGAAGATGGGAGAATAAACGCAATAAGCCTAAGAGGCTGTTGCGTTTTCTGGAGACTTGGGCTAAATGGACAAGTCAGACAGCTCCCAAGGTATAAAGAAAAAAACTTTGTCCATCTAAGCAACAGACTGCTCCAAAACATTACCATGTATAGTGCACGTGGTCTCCCAGACGAAGCTACTTGTACAGAGTCGTATTAAGGAAGGATCGAAGTTTTATTTTGGTAGAGTGAAGGAACACAAATTAGCAGTTTTTTTCAGCCATATCAGTACTTGACATTTCGAAAATTTTTGAAACTTCAAAATACCGTTCATGTAAACATCACAGGCGTTTAAATGTAAGTGTCCACTCTGACACTGTATCAATGAATTCCGCCAGCCGATTGTAGTTAAATCTGATTGGCCAGCGTAAGGAGGCTTGTTTATTTCACCCAAAAGATGCAAATATGCTTGGTGATCAGGCTTTGATCACGCATCTATCTTTGGGTTACTTTGTTTGTTGGATGAATATAGTTTAACTATAACATAATTGAGTACGAAAAGAGCACCAAAAAATATAAACTAGAACCGAAACTTGAAAAAGACATTGAATGATTTTAAGCATTCGGTAGCTAATTGCAAAATTTGATACCTTTACAGTAAATCGAAGTTTGATTTTAGATTGCCTGAATATCTTATTGAATAGTTTTGTTGATCACCATTGATTGTGAAAGTTTTTCAGTTCATTTTCGACCAATCGAATGAAGGTGATTTCAATTCATGTAGGGATGACAAATCTAGTAGTGTTTTTGGTTTATACAAGTTGACTGTTGGCTCCTTGTAGTTTAACTTGAATATACACTCAATGAGGAATTTGATGCCGTACCTCATATTGATATCAGATAATGAATGAAAAATAAATCAATTTGAGGTATTTTAGTGGTAGAACATTTCTCAATATGTTGTCTCCATGATACACTTTCATCTGGAATAAGACCAACAAATTTAACACTAGGAGAGTATTTGATATTTTCATTGTGGAATTNTTTATGTCATTGAAGCCATAAAGATATTTAATCAAGGTATTTTGAAATAATAATTTTGATTTTTTGTACCCTATTTCCATTGTAAGTTGAAGTGGTGTCATCAGCAGACATTTACCGAATAAATTAACTGTAGCCAAAGAATTGAAATATATAATAAACAAAACAGGTCCGAATATTGATCCATGCGGTACCCCACATATTATTTTTTGTTTGCAACTAATTGTATCGCTCATATGGACACACCGCATCACATTCAATAAATAATTTTGAAACCACTTATAAACTAAACTTCGGATATCTATATTATGCATTATTTCCAGCACAATTTTATAGTTCACAGTATCAAATGTTTTCTTCAGGTCTAATGAAAAAACTCCACATTTTTGGTTATGGCAATTGGTTTATGGCATCTAATACTGCCGACTCTGTCACAATTTTTTCGAAATCCATGTCATATAATGATTTTGTCTTTTCAATATATTTATGCAATCTAGAATGTGCTAATTTTACAATAATTTTCAGTAAAACTAAAATTGGTCTATAATTCGTAATTCGGTGATACATTAGTACCAACAGTAACAAAGTAATTGTTTAAACTCTCATAAATATCTTGTATATTTTCAATTTCATTTTCATCAACGGATATAAATTTAATTTCACCATTTCCATGATTTGTCTCATTACAAAGAATTTTGTTTATTGATTTCCATACGCACTTTGGAGCAGGGTTACCGATTTTTTTTTTCATAATATTTGGCAATTCGAACACTTTTTTACTACATAATTGTTCATTGTTAGAATAACGTATATCTTTTTGGGGTGGAATTTGTCACGTTATTATTCTTGAAAGATCTTTACTGGACCAGGGTTTGGAATTTCCTATGCACTGATTTCTCTGACGAATAATTTTTGAAAATTTCTAATATTTGATCAATCTTTTTTTATTGTTTTTCACACTTTTTTGGTGCACTATACTCAATGACTTTCTATAGTTTAATAGTTGTGGTGTTACTCATATCAGATTCATTTTTATCTGAAAATATTTCAACCGAGTGTAGCTCAGCTTCTTAATAAAGCATTATACCATCAAAAAAAGTTTTATCCGCAAGTAACTGCTGCTGCTAGAACATTCAACATTAGAAACATACCTACCTACCTGTAAAGTTTTTCTGTCAACGTTCTCTATGATGTCTGGATCGGATTCTCGTAGTTTCAGAATCCAATCTAGAATAGCTTCTTCGTGCATCAGATCTCCAGTGTATATTTCTCTGAATCTATTTCTGTAGAACACTACCGCAGGCAGAGATGGCAAATCGTACTCTTTCTGTATTCCTTCGTCGGATATTTTGACGAAATCAATATCTTTATCTTCACATTCGTCGTCGATGTTTTCGAGCTCTTGTAAGATTTTTTGGGATCGTTTGTCACCCTCTTTGTCTGGAAACAGAATAATTAAAAAAGGTGAGAAATATATTTTTTCTCAACAAAGGTATGCTTGTATCTGTATCTGTAGAGTAGGGAGGGGGAGTTTAGACCCACAGCACTTAGGCCACATGTGATCCATTGTACATCCTCCTTGACGAAATCGATATCTTTATCTTCACATTCGTCGTCGATGTTTTCGAGCTCTTGTAAGATTTTTTGGGATCGCTTGTCACCCTCTTTGTCTGGAAACAGAAAAATGGAAAAAGGTGAGAAATATGTTTTATCCCAACAAAGGTATGCTTGTATCTGTATCTGTAGAGTAGGGAGGGGGAGTTTAGACCCACAGCACTTAGGCCACATGTGATCCATTGTACATCCTCCCTCACAGTGGAAAATTCAGCAGTTTCTTTTGAAAACATTTTTTCCACTTCAACGGAAAATATTTTCCTCGGTTCACCAATGACGTTGGTATCTACTAAATGATATTGTCCACCATATGAAAGATTTCACCTATTCGATGATTGGTATTCACAAAATTTTCAATACTCGAACAGCAATTTTTCCATCATGAAGAAAAGTTAAATGAAACTTTCTATGTTTTTTACCACTTTCACTTGTGACTAACGTTACTGAAAATGTTCTATACACGCATTCCTGTTTCACTTGTGAGTGAGGTTTCAACTTTGAAAGATCTGTAAATTCCCATATTTCCGATAAATCCTGGCTTCATTACGATAATGACAACTACAGTGTCACATATAAAGTTCGCGACATATGGAAGTTTTTTATTAATAGATATAATGAAAATATGACTTCGCAGTTAGTTTGAGCTTGAAAACTGATTCGAATGAAACACGACTTTAATGTCATATCTTGCCCAGAAAATACCCGCATTAGCCTGTTACCAGAAAAAAAAAATGAATACACCTCCAGAAATTCGTCTTTGTTGTAGAAAAGTTCACCTAGTTCTTTCATTTCATTGTATGAGAGAGCTACTGTGCTAGCGAAACATGTGATTATATGTTTGTAGAGATCAAATCGTGAGGCGTAGTTTTTGAAAAGTTCTTTTATGTGGTGAGAATATACCATATCGAGATGTTGCTTCTATTTTCAATCACCGGTATCTAGGAAGAAATATTCACTTTAGTACCGCGGGAAAGATATTGAAAACATTCAAAGAAACTGGCTGTGTGGACAATCGTTTCAAGAAATCACATAATCCAATAAAGTAAAATGAAGAAGAACAACTTAATATTTGTTCGAGTGTTGTCGAAAACGGAAAAACTAATATCAGTAGTAGCAGTGAAGATATAGGGGTTGTCAGAGAAATAGACTCTTGAAGAAAGATATTTCTATATTCGAGAAGAACTTTCATTGTCGCTGGTGATCCAACAATAATAATTTGTGGTATCAGCTTGATGGGGCACCGATCCACCAAACTGTAGAAGTGAAATAGTGTCACAGTCAAATTATATCTATTAATAAAAAAAACTCCATATGTCGGGAACTTTATGTGTGATACTGTAGATTTAGAAAATATGTTTCGCAATCTCTAACTGTTCCTTGATGACCAAAATGGCCTGTTGAAGATGACACAGACCACGGTTTTGTAAATGTCTTTGTCGATAACACAGTTTGTTTCGATTCGTTCTTAAAATTAAGTCTACCTCAGATTGACCTGCTTATTTTTTTGTAATGCTGACAAATAATTCATGAATCATGAGTAGTAGTAGTTAGAAAATTAAAATTCTATTGTTTTCATAGTCATCAGATTTAATGATTTCTATAACGGAATCGGCAACCTCTAGAGCGTGAACATGTTCACTAACCAGGAAATATCAATCGCGCTGTATCATATCGAAATTCAACTGTACTTTGTCCAATGTTTCTAGAACCATATTTTGTTTTGCCTTTTCCCCAGGTTTTTGCGTTGAATATGACTTTTTTTAAATTTTTTCTCAAAAATATTTATTTTTCATCAATTTATATTTTGTTTCCTTCAAAGTAGTCTTCCTCAGATATACACTTGGGCCAACGTTTTTACCAATACCCGAAGCATATTCACTTTTCGCTGAGCTCTCTCAGCGACTCGGTTTTTATCTCTTCAATGATCGAAAAAAGCGGTTCTTTCATGAGTCTTTTCAATTTCGGGAATAGGAAAAAATCACAGGGTGCCACAACTTGTGAATACGATGGCTGTGGAATGATTACAGTGTTGTTTTTGGCGAAAAAATCACGAAGAAGCAATGACGATTGAGCAGCTGCATTATCGTGATGAAAAAAGCTTGAATTGTTTTTCCACAATACTGGACGTTTTCTTCATATTGCTTCTCGTAAAAGGCGTATTATTTCAAGATAATACTCTTTACTGACCGTACGACCATTTGATAAGAACTCCTGATCCAATAATCGAAAAAAAACAGTGAGCCAAACCTTGACATTTGGTCAAACTTATGGTGCTTTTTCTGGTCTTGGCTTTCCTGGGCTCTTCCATTGGGACGATTGGGCTTTGGTTTTGATGTCATAACTAAATACCCATGATTCGTCACTGATTCTGTATCTGTAGAGTAGGGAGGGTGAGTGTAAGCCCACAGCACTGAGGCCACATGTGACCCAGTGTACATCATCCCGAGGAGTTGTCCTTCTAGGTCATCGTCCATTCTGTCCTTTCCAGGAAGAATGACAGGTTACTGGGAGACATCTCCTTTATATTGGCAGGTGTAGGACAAGACTCGCCGAACACACACTCTCTTATTGACGATAAATCCGGGCACTTGCATAGGACATGCTTGACAGTCTCATAGTCTCACAGTCTCTGCATAGAGGTGTATCCCCCATATTATGGAGGTGTTTCCTTAGTTGACAGTGGCCAGTCAGAAATCCTACTGTTAAGCGTAGATTTTTTCTGGTCATCGCCAGATATTTCTTCGGCGCCAGCTTTCCAGGTCCGCCAAGGGTGATTCTGGCAAGATTGCATCCTTTGATTCCATCCCATCTCTTTAGTGATTGAGTATGGGTGTAACATTTGGCCGTAGGTGCCACTGGGTCCTAAAATTCTTAGTCCAGCCGCTTCCTTGGCTAAAGAGTCGGCATTCGATCACCTTTACTCCTGTCGTACCCTTTAACCCACCTCAGGATAATGTTATTATCTACCGAGGCTTTGGCTAAATCTTGGTGGCAATCTAGTACTAGCCCTGATGTAACACGTTGTCTGTTCAAGGTTAATAGGGCTTGTCTGCTGTCAGTGAAGAATGTGTTTTTTTCCAGTCACTAGTTATGACCTGAATTGTCGTTAATGTCATTAAACATTCTCTGAGCGATGCTGATGCGACGTGTTTTTTGGTCAAAATTCAGCAATTTCGGAACGAATTTGCTGCCACACGCCCAAAATTCAGGAAAAAATTGCATGAAATGAGCCAATGAACATGTCGACATCCTCAGTAACTTCTATAATAGTGATTTGACGATTATCCATTACAAATTTCTTCGATTTCTCAACATTTTCATCGGTTGTTGATATGCTGAGGCGTCCAGGTCGAGCGTCGTTATTCACATCTGTGGAAAGCTTGTACGGCTTATAAACATTTTCTTTACTCAAAGTACAGTCACATATGCTATTGTCAACATTTAAAAGTGTTGATGCAAATTCTTTGATCCATTTTTTTTTTCGATAACAGAAAAACTGAATACGCAACACACTACTAATTTTTATGCCTCTCACCACAAACTGAACAGAAACTGAGAACATATTTTGGAGACGAGTGTGGCTAAAAAAATGCTAATCGAATATGCGTAGCCCGCGAAATTTGAACATTTACTTGATTTTTTGAAAAGTCCATGTACGTTTGTGATGTTCTGGATGCATTTGAAATATTTCCAATTGTTCCAGTTCACTTGTTTTGCTCGTGAATTTTGATGAAGATGATCAACTTTTTCAATAGTGTATCTATTGGTTCTTTCGATATGGGTGCTAGAATTTTCCGGAGGTTCCAAGAACTGCGCCAATCATTTTACTGTTAGATCTACTGAAGAGCTAATTCCAAGCCTAATGAATCTTTATACGTCAGTTTCGAACTCTTTCGAATTCGTTCCGTCAGGCTTTTAGACTATAATTTTTTTGCCGGTCTCATTATTAAGAGTATGTTAAGTTATCGAAGGTGGATGCTTCGAAGCGTTTGTTTAAGGACAAAACACAAGTACTACAGGAAAATCTTTGAGGCGCTGTTAGAGTGGTGCCTGTGCGAAAGTAGCGATTCACATTGGATTTGAATTGCTGGAGATTAAATCCATTTGGAAAAACGTTCCCAGGAAATTCATTCCACATAAACGCAGTTCTCCAGATGAAATATTTTTCAAACAGTGAAGTTTGAGGTGTACTGAGTTAAACCTCAAAACGATGAGCAGCCACAGTCCATTGCGTGTTTCTAATGTATCTCTCTTGGTGAAATCAAATGTGCCAAGTCACTTGAACACCTCGCGTGAAATTATTTATATGTCCAAGACATATTGGTGTCCATTTTAACCCACAACAAACGAATTAGAAAGTGGAATTGTCCGACCTGACATTATTATAACCGGTCCAGACATTTATCTTCTTGGAGAAAACCGATTCCTGGGTTTTTGTGGCATTGAATTGAACCCCAATTCTGAATCACTTTCAAATCCTCATCAAGATCTGCAACCTCCTGCTGCAGGTGGAAATGGGCCTCCGTAGCCGAAGTCCTGGAATCCAAATGCAATGACGAGACACTTGCCTCGTCATTCTTGTAGATTCTTGTTTTTTTCCAAAAAGTCGTTGATATACAAGAAGGAAAAACCTCTTTCTAGTAAGACAGGTTGAACAGTCTGAAAAATGCTGGTGCGAATTTATTTGCACACTTTTCAAGTACGACGACGGGTACTTCTTCAGGGCCATACGCTTTGTTGATATTAAGCTGTTTCAAAATTCGCCTGACTAGACGCTGTCGAAAAGTAAGTTCCAGCATTGTAGATTCTACTGTGGGAATAGTGGGTGATGCCTTTCCCAGACAATCGACTGTGAAGTGGGACGCAAATTGTTCAGCTAGTAGATTTGCTTTTTCTATGGCTGTTGTTGCAATTGAACCATCCGCTTGTATTCGAGGTGGAATTGTGGATTTGGCAAAGTTCTGATTAACAGCTTTAGCTATGGACTAGAAGGATCTAGACCCTTTGGGACTGACAAGCAGTTTATCCTTAATTCTCTGATTGTGAAGTTCTTCGCTTTCATTTATCCTAAGTTTGCAGCTGTTGCAAGCATTAACAAACCTAGTTCGGTTTTTAGCACTGGGATTTTTGTGCCACTGCCTGAAGGAATTACCGGAATTTGTTGAAAGTTCATTACTGCTACATGGTATTCTTTTTTTAAGGTCTCAGTGCCTCTTTAGCTCTATCACTTTTCAGTCTTCCTTAAGGAAAACTATAAATGTATAAAAATTTTATAAATGATAACGTTTCAATACATTCGAATATATTCTAGGTGGTTTTTGAATCTTTTTAAATTCATAAAGAGGAATAGTAGCATTTTGAAAAAAATGATTTTTACATAATTCAAAATAGATTATACAAAAGGAATATACTTACAGAAGTAAACGACGACATGCTCATTTTCGCTCAGTATTTTATCCAACATCTTCGAATTGACTTCCTCTATTCGGTCAGGTATTTCCAAAGTGTTCTCGTCTGTCAACCAAGCTAGAACCTCATCTTCATCCTCTAAGTCTCCGGTGTAAACAAGCGGATCTTTGTTCCTGAAGAAAACCAATTTCGGGAAACTCTTGATTCCGTACTTTTTAGCAACAACCAAGTCCTCCGTGGTTACGAAGATGATACCGTTTTCATCTAGTTCATCGTCGATGTTTTCCAGATCGCGTAAGATGTCATCACATTCTTGTCCTTCCTCACAGTTACCGCTGAAGTAGACAACGACGTATTCGTGCTCTTGAATGAGGTCTTCGAGGATCTCGTCTGTAACCTCTTCAATCGTCGCCGTTTGTTTTTGTTCTATGAGCCATTTGAGAACTTCCTCTTCGTTCATTAGGTCGCCTTCGTAGATGGACGGGATCTTATCTTCGAAATAAACCAGGGTAGGTAGATGATCTATACCGAATTCTTTAGCTTCAGCATCATTGTCTATCCTCACTATGACTATTCCTTCTTTTTCCAAATCATCGTCAATGTTTTCGAGCTCATTCAGGACTCTGATGTCTTGTTTGTCGTCTTTGTCATCTATAATCAGAAAAAAATTAAATTTAAGGGTTTGCTCTTCTGGATTTCTGAACAATATAGAAGACAGTTGTGAACATATTTCTTGACAAACAGCTTGATGAACAACAAAATGATAAAGTTAATATCGAATATATTACCATATTTGGTCAGATAACTGAAAAGCTCATTATTTTTTTATGTGAATAATTAAAAAGTATGATTCTGGTTACTGGAATGAATAAATGTATGGTGAGACGGTAACCTAGTGGGTTCTCCCTTTTGTTTATTCATTTGATACAAAATTGTAATTATTATTATTGTTTTCAATTTGTATGTATGGTGGGACGGTAACCTGGTGGGTTGACGTGGGTGATTTCCTTCATTCACTCAATCAACCGATGTGTGAACCGGTGGTTTGAACCGCAAGGCCAGACGATCGATTTTCATTTTATATCGTCCAACCCGTGTTAGGGATCACACGTTAAAATGTAAGACCTCTTTAATCCTTATCTCGCACAAGTTTCGACTTCTGAGGGCAGCGACAGTTGGTTAACCCGACCCGGCTTTCTAATGGTAGCAGAACATATGTGCCTATATTTTTTTACTGTCATAGTATCACAACATTCGAGAGTATTCGAAATCGTTTGGGAATAGTTTGGAACATTCGTTTCTGTGTGCAGACGGAGCTACCGATTAGTAAGAGTATATAAAGTAAGATACGTCGACTTCTCATAATTTAAAGTCTTTTTATTCCAACCACCACACCATCTTTCATCTTATATTTGCTACCTGAGCAAAGATGGGTAACTCACCTATCAAATAATAATGATAATTGATAAAATTCACTTAAAAAAAGTATATTTACAAATATCAATTTTGTACTAGGTAGGTACCTATCTATCTAAAAACAACAAATTAAAAACTTTTCTAGCTTGAATTCATTTTCTCTCGTGATAGGTCTGATTTTGGAATAACGCCCAAGATATAATTTCGAACTGGCATCTGGAAAATCAGATCACAGATAGCTAGAGATATAATGAAACATCGATATCAGTACTCTGGAAGGTGTCGGATTTTGGTTTCCCAAGACCCAGAATTTTCATCTTCCCATCATAAGGATGATGAGGAACATGTCTTCACAATTGACATAGTAGCCTTCGAACCAGTTTTCTGATCAAATGTGAATCCATGATCTGTTGCAGAAAATCTGGCGCTGAATCAATTCCTGGATTAGGGTTTTGTTCAATTAAGATGGTTTCAATAATCAGCGAACATTCCTCATAGAGAAGTCTCCATAATTGCGTCCCAAAATTATTGAAGGAACCAATTTGTTAATGAATACAAGAAAAAAAGCATTGGCAGAAGATAAAGTTCAATAAAAGTGAATCGATTTTATAGGACTATGCGAACTAGATAGAGAACAAAAAGTCGTGATCTCTTCACTAACGGAATATATACAAGACGAACAGATCGGAAACTTTGTGAAGAACTTGATAGATAAAACTGGAAGCTCTGGAATGACATTAATCTATTCACAACACCAGAACGAAACTAGAAGCGTGTTTTGCTGAGTTAGCATCATCAGTAGTTGAATAAAGCTGGCTGACTAGGCATTTCCTGATGATGCTAACTAGGTTAGCAAAAAGTGGGTCGATAGACAGTATTTTTGTTCTGGTGTGTGAAAAGGGTTTTCAATATATATTTACTCTGTAAAAATACCGGAGATTCTCCATTACAGTTCTATAATGTACTTTTATATTTCTAATAATCGCATACTCAAAAGCAAGACAGCTTTTTTCTAGTTCCTGTAGTGTATCGAAAACTTCCAAACGGTTACCCAAAGCTAAGTGACAATTTCATCCAAAGACGATTGTGGCTATTTTAGATCGGAACAAAATGAAATATCTCGCTTATGAATTTGTTTTTGTACTCTTTCATCATTATATTTTCCTATTTTTATTTATTTCACCTTGATACGTATCACCATCCACATGCTAAGTATAGTTGGAGAAGTTGAGAAAGTCTCCAATAAAATCTTGTAATGAAATTGCTGATCACTATCATCACAGCTTATTTAACTCAAGCTTTATCACTAGTCACTTCATTTTTCATGAAAAGATACTTACAGAATAGTACTGCTAGATACTTCTGCGAATCAATAAGTAAGTCCATCATTTCATCAGTGATGTCTGGTATTTCACTATGTCTTTTCTGGTGTAGGAGCCATCCGAGCAATTCTTCCTCTTTGGTCAAATCTCCCTCATACAAATGAGGAATTTTTTTCTCGAATAATACCAAACTAGGGATGACGTCGATTCCGTATTCTTTGGCTTCGTCTGGATTATCGATTTTCACAAAAACTATGTTGTTCTGGTCACATTCGTCATCAATATTCTCCAATTCCACCAAAACTTTTTGACTCTTCTTCTGGTTCTTGTCATCTGCAAAGATTCAAAATTGTGATGTTCTGATGAATTGAAGGAAATTACTTACAGAATAAAACAGCAACGAATTGTCTTTTGTTGAGTATGATATCCAGCATTTCGTCGGTGACATCTTCAATTTCGTCGCTCTTCACTTGATGTTCAAACCACTTCAGTACTTTATCTTCATCTTCCAGGTTACCTTCGTATAGCGTAGGAATTCCATTCTCGAAGTACACCATAGAAGGAATTTTCTCGATACCGTATTCTTTAGCTTCGTCATCGTTGTCAATTTTAACGAAAACGATTCCGAGCTTGTCGCATTCGTCATCGATATTTTCTAGTTCGTTGAGGACCTTCTGGGATTTTCTGTCATCGCTGTCATCTGAAATATAACTGGTCCTTCAGTTTCTATGGATCTTTCATATCACATACAGCTTGATATAGGATAAAAATAAAAATTATGAGATGGTAGACACATCGACATATTTAAAATGTCACTATTTAACAGATTTGTACTCATATACATAGAAACATTCATTCAACACAGGCAAAAACATCTTCATTTTGCATCAAGACAATCTTTGATACCATAAAAATATTTATTATGCAAATATCCTTTCAATTTTAATTTGAAGTTTTCATTCCGTAGCTCTCTGAGGTTTGCCGGAAGATGAATGAAAAATTATATACCTCTATTAGTGTCCGACCGAAACTGGTTTTTACGACCGAAACCGAAAACGGATATCGGCAACGGTCTCAGTTTCGGCCGAAATCGAAACTTCCTTACAAGAATTATGTTTTGAGGGAAAAATAAAGAAGGTTATTTTAATCAGTTATTCTTTATTTTTTTATCTTTAAATCACAACGTTATGCAGTCTTCGACATTTTTTACTTATTGATAATCAACATAAAAACCCCTTATTTGAAAAATATCAATTGCACCTTAAAAATACTTAAAATAGGTGAGGTTTTTATTGGAGTAGGTGTATATCCTTCTTTTGAATATTATTGATGGGTTTTCAAAAATATTAAACATAAAATTACTTCTCTGAGTTGTTACCTAATATCACTTGTATGAAATTCAACGAGCCGAACATGACCGTTTCGGTTCCGTTCGTAGTTTCGGCGGGTTTGTCGCCGAAACCGAAACTAATCCTAAACCCGTTTTTTGCCTAAACTCGACCGAAACCGAAACCGAACTTTCAGTCGGACACTAATCTCTATATGATGGTCTTTATTCATAAAATACTGAGCAGTGGGCAGGAATTCCGATAAGGTTTCCATTTTTACAGAGACAGACTTATCTGGCCATCAGTGTTGCCATCAGTACACACCGTCAGCGGCCATGAAGATCTTTCTAGATCTACCTCATCTCCAAAATTTTTTGGAGAAAGAGACTAGATGAAATGCATATAGAATTGTGCACATTACCATTTGCACAAATCAATTTGATGCAGAGTGCAACAGACTGTTGGTTGACGCTGGAAATCACAGCATTCTGGAAATGACCTCTGACTTCACGCTTATAACTGTCAACTACGAACTGCCGCACAAAGAACTGTTCCCAAGTAGAGAGGACTGGATCCTCCGGGAGAAGGCAATATCAAGAGCAGATAGTTGTTGGTTCACATATGGATCAAAAACACCTTCCGGTTCCGCTGCAGGTGTTTTCAGTCGCAGAGCCAGGACAGAGATATCAACCTGCCTAGGAACCTGTGCGACTGTATTTCAAGCGGAAATGTACGCTATTGTATTGTGTGCGGAGAGATTGGAAGAATCCAATCTCATACACAAGTAATAAAAATATTCTCGGATAGTCAAGCGGTGTTGGAAGCTCTTGGTTCCTACCCAACAACGTCTGAATTGGTATCAAATTTTCCTCGATAGGAAAACTTTCAACAGATTATCTCTAGTCTGGATTCTTGGCCATACTGTCCTAGAAAACAATGAGGCTGCTGACTCCCTTACAAAGGAGGGTACTGCAAGCAGCTTCATCGGTCCAGAACCTGTCATTGGCATTGCTTTAGGCTTTGCCAAAGAAAGATTGAACACCTGGATGGCAAGAAAATGTATGGACTTCTGGCAGAATCTTCCAGTATTGGCTCACTCCAAGGTGTTTATTCACCATTCTTACAGGTCAGTGTCATTTGAATATTCATATACAGGGACTCGGACTGTCGGAAAAAGACAGTGTATGTCGCCTCTGTTTGTAAATGTAAATGATGAAACAACAGAGCACATACTTTGTGTCTGCCCCGCTGGGGACCGAATCAGGTTTTGAGAGTTCGGCAGAGCCGTACTCTTACCATCTGACCTGAAAGACTACTCACCATACAAACTAATCGGCTTCGTTGAGAAGCTGGGTTCATTTGGTAGAGTGTGAATAGGTCTGAGCCACAATAAACCCTTGCGAGTTGCGGCGGAGGTTCGAATAGACCTACTCACTTCGGACCTAACCTAACCTAACTTTGATGAGTTGATTTTCATTGAACATAGTTTTTAATTGCAATATAGCTCATGTTCCAGGAAATTTCGTAACTTCAGAAAGATGAATAGAACTATTTCTGACACTCACTTGAATACCAGTCACATATCTTCACCTAGAATAGAAATACAAACTGTTTTCGTACATTCACTTTCAAGCAATTTCTTTCACACCAATTCATGAAATTCTTTGGTAGATTATCCAGGTTTATTCGTAAGTCTTCAAAAGTATCTGAATCAGTTGTCAATCTCCATAGAGAACTACAAGATCTCAACAGATATGGTCAGGAGATCGTTTATGAATAACAAAAAAATAAGGGACCCAGAATAAATCTCTGAGGAACTCCCAGGTCCATCTCATAATATTCAGATTTATGCTCTCTGATTTTTTCGCAGTCATCATCAATGTGTTCCAGATCGTCTAAGACCTGGATGGAATCTTCGTCTCCATGGTCGTCTAGAATATTCGATAATTAATTAATGCATCCAAAATCAATTCTTTTAAGTAAAGTGCATCAACTACTGAGATTATTAGCGTTAAGGTGGGTTTACACGATGTGACAAAACATAACGATTTGTCTGCAACTAGAACTTTGCCGACATGTCGTAACGTGTGAACAGGAAACCGTTAAGACCTTTCGGGGTTGGAGTCAGGTTGAAGGTTGATGCAAATTTCCATAATTTTCTGGAAATCGTAGCGACAAGTCGTTGCGTCTAGATGGTCACTCCGATATATCGTTGCGATGTAGACGCCAGTTGTGTCGTAGGGCGCATCTACCTGTCTACTTTGTATACTTTTCCTCATATGTTTTTGAATGAAAATAAGCACAAATTGTTTAGTCGAAGCCACTCAGCGACATCATAAATCGTAGAAACTCATACAAATCAGTATATTTATTCGATGCCATTCAACGACATCATAAATCGTAGAAAATCATAAAAATCAGTATGAGTTTCTACGATTATTTGTAGAATACATATTATTATTATTTGGTTCTGAATTATACTCACAGAACAAAACAGCCAAATGATCGACACTAGAAATCAAGGTAGTAAGAGTTTTCAAAGTAACATCTTCAATGATATCATCTTCATCTCCTGTACTCTTATGTTGGACCAGCCATTCTAATACATCTTCTTCTTTGGTTAGTTCTCCTGAAAAAAATGAAGGTTTTTTCGTTGCGTTCAGTGAATGAATATTTTATATGTATAATATAATTTTAGTCCTATTTTGTTAACAAATCAGTGAAGAGAGCTTATTTTTCTTTCATCAAGATTTACTGAAAACCATCTTCTCTGACATCAATTAGGACAATGCTGCACGAATCACTCAGAGTACCATCTTCTTCACATTCACTGATGCAGCTGCTAAATATATGAGCAAAATGTTTATTTTGTACAAGCTCTTCAAAACTTAATGGATTTCAATAGCAGAGATGCTTGAAACAAATGTTAATAATTTCTGCCCAATTTATTGGAGTACTTTAACGCACAGAATCTAATTTTCTGGGAAAACTCAGGATCTGAACGAAGGGGGTACATCATGATAATTCAATCGGACAAGTAGGCAGAGAAAGCGTCATTGAAGATGTTGTAACAACTTTTTCTTTTCGTAGTACAATAATATATCTAGTTTGTTGAAATTGATTGGGAAGAATATGATATACTAAAGAATTCATTATTAAGTCCATCTTTTTTTTTATTGTACATTAACAATCTCAATGCGTCAATTATTACGAGTATGTTGACTGTACCATTGAATAGAAATTTGCCTTGGAACAATCACGTTGCTGGACCAATAGAAAAAACTCTGTAAATAATATCATGTCAAACAAAATGGTTGTGCACAATTCAGCTTGCTTTGGAAAAACCTAATTAGACCTGTGTAATTTTCCTCACATATACGAAGTTCTGCCTTTCTCCCAGATCACCTAGAAGTAATTGATTTATATCCTGATGTTAACCTCTTTGATGACTCAAAAAGTATAAACCACTTCAAATGTCGAAAACATTGAAACAGACTTAGATAGAACAGACGATAGGTTTGTCCTGGTTCTACAAGTAGGGCGCCAGGATCATTTGCAGTTGATCATTGCAGTTATCATCATCCTCATCTCCTGACACAAATCGTCAAATTCTAAATGCTGCGAAACTTTTGGCTTGTATACTTTATTGAACTCTAAAAGTGCCACATTTTTTTCTACTGAAGAAGTTATCTACATCTTTATTTTCACTGTTGGGGATCAAAAATTCCTAGAGTTGATGATGTGAACTACCAAGAAACTTTTTAATGACAGTCACTTCATAATATGAATATATTTCAAAGTTGCCTGCTTGCTTGCCAAATGAAAACTCTCCATATATACGATAGATGGCGCAGCTGTCGCCTCAAAATACGTCATGGTTCAACCATAAACAAACCTTGAATGATAAAAATTGAAGTTCAACAAAGAAACATAATTAAACGTGATATTCAGGAGCCGAGGTAGCAGGTAAATTATATTCCGACGTATGACACTTATTTGACTTGACACCTTACTATTTGCTAAAGAAATTGAAAAAAATCTGTTTTACAAAGTATATACTTTTCACATCAACAAAGTCAGTTTAGAGCCTGATTTTTTAAAGTTTTGATCGAAGTTAATTCCAATATAGGAATTTTGGTTGAGAGTCTATGACGGGTGTACTGTACAGCATGCCAAATATAGGAAGCGACTTCAAAGTCTCGGCTTAGACCTCCCCTAAGATGCGTGTGGTAGAAAACGATCGTAGCTCAGTCTTAACGACAATCTTATGTCTATTTCGGTGAAGTAGAGTAAGTGATAGTAGTCAACGTGCAACGAGAAGCTGATAATGGCATGAGCACGGACCTGCACAAAGTTTAAGAGCGTTGTGCAAAAGCGGCGGGTGTAAGTTTGGGTAGCATCATGAGAATAGTTCGTGAAATGAAAACAATTGAAAATGGTGAGTTGTCCTCTTTTTCAACGACTAATAAAAAAAAAAGACATGGAAAAGCATTAAAATCAGATTCTAACGAGTTCGACACGGGCCTTCTTCGTCGATATATAATCAATTATTACATTACTGAGAACAAAATTCCTTTACACCACATACATAAAAAATTCGTTAGTGAAAATTGTTACAAGGGATCTTATGAGTTTCTAAGGAAAATCATGAAAGAAATAGGGTTTAGATGGAGAAAAAAGAAAGAATAAACAGAAAATTGATTTTGGAAAAAACCGGCGATTCAGCAGTTGCGAAGAAATTTTCTCAGAGACATGAAGAAATACCGTGAAGAATGTCGAACAATTATTTTTATGGATGAAACATATATCCATGTTTCACATGCACACAAGAAGAGTTGGAATGATGATTTGAATGAAAGGTTGCTTGCACCAATTTCAAAAGGGCCGACACTTATAATTGTGAATGCTGGAAGAAAAAATATATTTGTGAAACATTTATATCCAAAATTCAAATCCAACACAGAATCGGGCGACTATCATAGCGAAAAGAGTTACAACAATTACAAAAAGTGGTTGCAATCTTTCAGAAAAAAGCGTTTTGGTTATAGACAATGCCCCTTGCCACAATTCAGTATGAAATGTGCCCGGACATGTTCTCGAGGAAACATGAGATGAGGGAATGGTTGAGCCGATGGAACATTCATTTCACGGATGATATGCTGGAAATTGCTCTCTACTCCATTATTAAAATCAAAAACCCACGATTCAAGTTGTATGAAACTGATAGTGTTATGGAAAATCAGAGACATACTGTATTCAGATTGCCTCTTATCATTCAGATTCGACCCCTACAGAAAAACAAACTCATTTAAATTCAATTACGTAAATACCGCATTATCATATTAAACTCATAATTAACCATCAATTAAAAACCATCAGCCTCTATTGCTACTTGCGGCGAGGACTGTACTCTCAGGCTACTCTAAAACCCAAATAGGCGCATCAAGTCGCACGGTAGATTTCATCCTTTTCTATTCTAATACGTTTTCTGTCAGTAGTGTATGTAGGAGTTACTAGTCGCTTCCTAGATTCGACAAGCTGTACTACACTCTCGATTCAAGGTTATTAGTCAACTTACAATAAGAACCGAATTTAGTAGACTTTATTGTTCATACACATACCTTCGTAGATAATTGGAATTTGATGCCTGTAGTAGACGAGCGCTGGCAGTGTTCCCAGATTATATTCATCAGCTAGAGTCTCGTCGTTGATTTTCACGAATCCAATTCCAAGTTGGTCCGCTTCGTCATCGATGTTCTCAAGTTCGAGTAATACTTTGGAACACTTCTTACAATCGGGTTTGTCTGCGACAAAAAAACTAAGTTATTGACGGATATATTCTCAGTATGCTTTGTTAATGATCCACCGTACTTCGCAAAAATCAGTATATCCCAATTACTACTGAATATAATGGAAGAATGTTCATTCAATTAGTATCGACCGATTGTGAAATCCAGTTATGTAGTGGTTCAAATATTGAAGGAAATAATTTTTGGATGTTTCTCGAATAAATATAAATATTATCACAAAAATTAATCAGGTCAATTCGGCTCATTCGGAGCAGAAAACTTCAAAATGAATATCGTCTTAATCTGATGATCGAGAAGAATTGCATCATGCTTATTAGCTTCTTCAGCATGTAATTCCATCCTTCACAGATGGTATCACATCCGTTCCTCTTGGATACAGACTGAGACCTCGGCGTGGTTATGGTTTCAAAGGCGAAGCGGAAACGTCGAAACACAGAAGTCTTTGGATGCAGTCCAACCTGAACTTCAAATTCTCAGATTGCTGACCGTGAAAACCTATCTGAACATATGAATTACTACATACCGTGAGGTAGAAGCTTCCCTTGATGAATCATGGGTCACAATACATTCAATGGTTCATTTTTATTTATAAGCGATTGATATATGTTTTTGAATGTGCAGTAGCCTTTTTGTTTTTTGTGATGTAATAATGATTTCCTCTAAAAATACTCTGGAAAATGACTTGGTATTTATGAGCATCGTACACATTTACGAATATATTCATTGGAAAGTCAAAAACTAGGTCTAGGTGACATGTTGAACTGGGAACTGCAGATTCCATATGCAATAATCTTACAGGTGACAAAAAGTGATTATGCACTGAAACTCACGAAAGTCCCATAAGAAAATTATTGCGATTTATCGCCTCCTAGTGTTGTGGTATTACTTTCGGTAATGAAGAAACTAGGTAACCCAGTGTTCTTTATGAAGGCTTGAAAATATATTACTTTCCTTCATTTCTATCAATATTCTAACCACCCTTTGTATTCAATCATTCACCAAAATAAAAATTCAAATACTACTAGATTCGACAATGGAAGAAAATGCGAAGCATTTATTTGAGTTGCAATAAAATCAGCTGTGTTGTCAGAGATCTCCAAACTGCAAACATTATTCTGGTTATTCTCAACTGATCCGCGGCCAATGGTTGGATGAAAAGCTGTAGAAATAACGTCACAAGTCGGAAAAGGAAATGTTACTTACTGCCTCCGGATTTAGCACACTTGTCCGCATCTGGACCTGAAGTGGTAAGTTATAAACACGATTTAAATGAATACATTGATACACGAATTGAACTATCAAACAATGCTGTTATTCAAATCGAAGTGAATTCATTAGTGATACTGAAAGATTTTTTGTTTATTTACACAATGAAAATCGATTTTATTTTCTATTCCAGATATTCGTCGTTAAAAAAAGGATTTTCAGTTATCAAACAAAATAATTTTCATCTCAATTTGAAATCGGTATATTTTTCGGGAGAGATTAGTTTTGGGAAAAAAAACTTTTAGACACTATCGTTATATTGAAAATGTGGAAACTTCCGAAAGAAAGAAATTAAGAAAGAAATTAGGTTCACAATGAACTCCTGACGAGATTTGTAGATCATGCATATGAGTTTCTTTCAGATAAAAACTGAAAGAATAAAATGAGAGCTTCGTCCTGTAATGTTATTTGAAAGATGCTGACGAGGTAAAATGACGTGTCTCATTCCGAAACTTCGAAGTATACCACCACTAAGGTTGATATTGTTTCAGGTAAATCAAATTTCATATCGGCATTCTTTCATATATTATACTAGTTGTTGCCCGC